ACACTTAATAAAGGATGTTTATTTACATTATCTTAAAGAAAACAAATTAAACACTTAATGAAGGATGTTTTATTTACATTATCTTAAAGAAAAAAAAAATTTAACACTCAATAAAGGATGTTTTATTTACATTATCTTAAAGAAAAAAAATTAAACACTTAATAAAGGATGTTTTATTTACATTATCTTAAAGAAAACAAATTCAACACTCAATAAAGGATGTTTTATTTACATTATCTTAAAGAAAAAAAAAATTTAACACTCAATAAAGGATGTTTTATTTACATTATCTTAAAGAAAAAAAATTAAACACTTAATAAAATATGTTTTATTTACATTATCTTAAAGAAAATAAATTAAACACTCAATAAAGGATGTTTTATTTACATTATCTTAAAGAAAAAAAATTAAACACTTAATAAACGAACTAATATTGACATTAAAACTCACGTGCCATGCACGACTTTTTTAAAAATCCCCGACGCTTATCCTAACTAGCGAATCAAAACCCCCTGGGAGCCTGACGGCAATGTTTATCCGAACTACCATATGCAACGGACGCTCTCCACCAATCGGAAGCGCCGCTGGCGCCACGTGACTGCGCGTTGCCACGGCGACGGCTGTAAACCGGAAGCGGCCGCGCCAACGATCAAGGTTTGTGTTCGTTAAGGACTTAAAAAGACGGAAATTATCTTTTAATTATCTTTAAATTATCTTTTAGTTATCTTTTAGTTATCTTTTAGTTATCTTTTAGTTATCCATACATTTTCTTAACATTTCCTTTTACATTATCCTTAGTAAAGCTAAAAGTTTGGCTTCGTTAAGACTTAAAATATCCTGAAATTATCGTAAAATTTGCTTTTAATTATCTTTAAATTATATTTTAGTTATCCATAAATTATCTTTTAATTCTCTATTAATTATCTTAACATTTCATTTTAAATTATCCTTAATAAAGCTAAAAGTTTGGCTTCGTTAAGACTTAAAATATCCTGAAATTATCTTAAAACTATCTTTAAATTATCTTTTGATTATCTTTTAATTAGCCATGAATTATATTTTAGTTATCTTAACATTTCCTTTTAAATTATCCTTAATAAAGCTAAAGGTTTGGCTTCGTTAAGACTTAAACTATCCTGAAATTATCTTAAAATTAGCTTTAAATTATCTTTAAATTATCTTTTAGTTATCCATAAATTATATTTTAATTCTCTAGTAATTATCTTAACATTTCATTTTAAATTATCCTTAATAAAGCTAAAAGTTTGGCTTCGTTAAGACTTTAAATATCCTGAAATTATCTTAAAACTATCTTTCAATTATATTTAAATTATCTTTTTAGTTATCCATGAATTATCTTTTAATTCTCTATTAATTATCTTAACATTTCATTTTAAATTATCCTTAATAAAGCTAAAAGTTTGGCTTTGTTAAGACTTAAAATATTCTGAAATTATCTTAAAATTAGCTTTAAATTATCTTTAAATTATCTTTTAGTTATCCATAAATTATATTTTAATTCTCTTTTAATTATCTTAACATTTCCTTTTAAATTATCCTTAATAAAGCTAAAAGTTTGGCGTCGTTAAGACTTAAAATATCCTGAAATTATCTTAAAACTATCTTAAATTATCTTTAAATTATCTTTTTAGTTATCATGAATTATCTTTTAATTATCTTTAATTAGCCATAAATTATATTTTAATTATCTTAACATTTCCTTTTAAATTATCCTTAATGAAGCTAAAAGTTTGGCTTCGTTAAAACTTAAAAAATATCCTTCAATTATCTGAAAATGTTCTTTAAATTATATTTAAATTATCCTTTAAATTATCTTTAAAAATGTTTAAATTATCCTTAACAAAGCTAAACGTTTGGCTTCGTTAAGACTTAAAATATCCTGAAATTATCGTAAAATTAGCTTTAAATTATACTTAAATTATATTTAAATTATCCTTTAAATTATCTTAAAAAATGTTTAAATTATCCTTAACAAAGCTAAACGTTTGGCTTCGTTACGACTTAAAAATAGCCGTAGATTATCTGTAAATAACCTTAAAATGAAATCCTTCTAAAAGTTGTTTTCTTCATTAGATTAGTCGCCTAATCTAGTGTTTACACGATCTAACCACTACCACTACTACCACAACAACTACCACAACTACTACCACCAACAACTACCACCACTACTACCACCAACAACTACCACCAACAACTACCACCAACAACTACCACCACTACCACCACCACTACTACCACCACTACTACCACCACTACTACCACCACTACTACCACCACCACTACTACCACCACTACTACCACCACTACTACCACCACTACTACCACCACCACTACCACCACCACTACTACCACCACTACTACCACCACTACTACCACCACCACTACTACTATCACCACCACTACTACTACCACCACCACCACTACCACCACCACCACTACTACCACCACTACAGCTACCACCACAACTACCACAACCACTACTACCACCACCACCACCACCACTACTACCACCACCACTACCACCACCACCACTACTACCACCACTACTACCACCACTACTACCACCACTACTACCACCACCACTACTACCACCACTACCACCACCACCACTACCACCACTACTACAACCACCACTACCACCACCACTACCACCACTACTACCACCACCAACAACCATGTCAACAACGATGTCAACAACCATGTCAACCATGTCAACAACCTTACCAACGATGTCAACAACCATGTCAACAACCTTACCAACCATGTCATTTATGTCAACAACCATGTCAACAACGATGTCAACAACCATATCAACAACAATGTTAACAACCTTACCAACGATGTCAACAACCATATCAACAACGATGTCAACAACAATGTCAACAACCTTACCAACCATGTCAACAACCACGTCAACAACGATGGCGACCACCATGTCAACAACAATGTCAACAACCATGTCAACAACCAAGTCAACAACCATGTCAACAACCATGTCAACAACAATGTCAACAACCTTACCAACCATGTCAACAACCACGTCAACAACGATGTCAACAACCATATCAACAACCATGTCAACAACCATATCAACAACCACGTCAACAACCATATCAACAACAACGTCAACAACTACGTCAACAACAATGACAACAACAATGTCATCAACTACGTCAACAACCATGTCAACAACCATGTCTACAACGATGTCAACAACCATGTCAACAACCATGTCAACAACCATGTCAACAACCATGTCAACAACAATGTCAACAACCTTACCAACCATGTCAACAACCACGTCAACAACGATATCAACAACCATATCAACAACCATGTCAACAACCATATCAACAACCACGTCAACAACCATATCAACAACCACGTCAACAACCACGTCAACAACAATGTCAACAACAATGTCAACAACCATGTCAACAACCATGTCAACAACCATGTCTACAACGATGTCAACAACCATGTCAACAACGATGTCAACAACCATGTCAACAACCATGTCAACAACCATGTCAACAACGATGTCAACAACCTTACCAACCATGTCATCTATGTCAACAACCATGTCAACAACCATGTCATCTATGTCAACAACCATGTCAACAACAATGTCAACAACCATGTCAACAACAATGTCAACAACCATGTCAACAACCATGTCAACAACCATGTCAACAACCATGTCAACAACCTTACCAACCATGTCATCTATGTCAACAACCATGTCAACAACCATGTCATCTATGTCAACAACCATGTCAACAACAATGTCAACAACCATGTCAACAACCATGTCAACAACCAAGTCAACAACCATGTCAACAACAATGTCAACAACCATGTCAACAACCAAGTCAACAACCATGTCAACAACCACGCCAACAACCATGTCAACAACCAAGTCAACAACCATGTCAACAACCATGTCAACAAACAAATCAACAACCATGTCAACAACCATGTCAACAACCATGTCAACAACCACGTCAACAACGATGTCAACAACCATGTCAACAACCATGTCAACAACCATGTCAACAACCATGTCAACAACAATGTCAACCAATGTGAACAACGATGTCAACAACCATGTCAACAACCATGTCAACAACCATATCAACAACCACGTCAACAACCACGTCAACAACAATGTCAACAACCATGTCAACAACCATGTCAACAACCATGTCAACAACCATGTCAACAACCACGTCAACAACCACGTCAACAACAATGTCAACAACAATGTCAACAACCATGTCAACAACCATGTCAACAACCATGTCTACAACGATGTCAACAACCATGTCAACAACGATGTCAACAACCATGTCAACAACCATGTCAACAACCATGTCAACAACGATGTCAACAACCTTACCAACCATGTCATCTATGTCAACAACCATGTCAACAACCATGTCATCTATGTCAACAACCATGTCAACAACAATGTCAACAACCATGTCAACAACCATGTCAACAACAATGTCAACAACCATGTCAACAACCATGTCAACAACCATGTCAACAACCATGTCAACAACCTTACCAACCATGTCATCTATGTCAACAACCATGTCAACAACCATGTCATCTATGTCAACAACCATGTCAACAACAATGTCAACAACCATGTCAACAACCATGTCAACAACCAAGTCAACAACCATGTCAACAACAATGTCAACAACCATGTCAACAACCAAGTCAACAACCATGTCAACAACCACGCCAACAACCATGTCAACAACCAAGTCAACAACAATGTCAACAACCATGTCAACAAACAAATCAACAACCATGTCAACAACCATGTCAACAACCATGTCAACAACCACGTCAACAACGATGTCAACAACCATGTCAACAACCATGTCAACAACCATGTCAACAACAATGTCAACCATGTCAACAACCATGTCAACAACAATGTCAACAACCACGTCAACAACCATGTCAACAACCATGTCAACAACCATGTCAACAACCATGTCAACAACCATGTCAACAACCAAGTCAACAACCATGTCAACAACCATGTCAACAACCATGTCAACAACCAAGTCAACAACCATGTCAACAACCATGTCAACAACCATGTCAACAACAATGTCAACAACCACGTCAACAACGATGTCAACAACCATGTCAACAACCATGTCAACAACCATGTCAACAACCATGTCAACAACCATGTCAACAACCACGCCAACAACCATGTCAACAACCATGTCAACAACCATGTCAACAACCATGTCAACAACGATGTCAACAACCATGTCAACAACCATGTCAACAACCATGTCAACAACCATGTCAACAACAATGTCAACAACCACGTCAACAACGATGTCAACAACCATGTCAACAACCACGCCAACAACCATGTCAACAACCATGTCAACAACCATGTCAACAACCATGTCAACAACCATGTCAACAACCATGTCAACAACAATGTCAACAACCACGTCAACAACGATGTCAACAACCATGTCAACAACAATGTCAACAACCATGTCAACAACCAAGTCAACAACCATGTCAACAACCATGTCAACAACCATGTCAACAACCATGTCAACAACAATGTCAACAACCAAGTCAACAACCATGTCAACAACCATGTCAACAACCATGTCAACAACCAAGTCAACAACCATGTCAACAACCATGTCAACAACCATGTCAACAACAATGTCAACAACCACGTCAACAACGATGTCAACAACCATGTCAACAACCATGTCAACAACCATGTCAACAACCAAGTCAACAACCATGTCAACAACCATGTCAACAACCATGTCAACAACAATGTCAACAACCACGTCAACAACGATGTCAACAACCATGTCAACAACAATGTCAACAACCATGTCAACAACCAAGTCAACAACCATGTCAACAACCATGTCAACAACCATGTCAACAACCATGTCAACAACCATGTCAACAACGATGTCAACAACAATGTCAACCAATGTGAACAACGATGTCAACAACCATATCAACAACCAAGTCAACAACAATGTCAACAACCATGTCAACGATGTCAACAACCATGTCAACAACAATGTCAACAACCATGTCAACAACCTTACCAAGCAATGTGAACAACGATGTCAACAACCTTACCAACCATGTCAACCATGTCAACAACCAAGTCAACAACCATGTCAACAACCATGTCAACAACCATGTCAACAACCTTACCAACGATGTCAACAACCATATCAACAACCAAGTCAACAACCATATCAACAACAATGTGAACAACAATGTCAACAACAATGTCAACAACAATGTCAACAACCATGTCAACAACAATGTCAACCAATGTGAACAACGATGTCAACAACCTTACCAACCATGTCATCTATGTCAACAACCATGTCAACAACCATATCAACAACGATGTCAACAACAATATCAACAACAATGTCAACAACCATGTCAACAACAATGTCAACAACAATGTCAACAACCTTACCAACCATGTCAACAACCACGTCAACAACGATATCAACAACCATATCAACAACCATGTCAACAACCATATCAACAACCACGTCAACAACCATATCAACAACCACGTCAACAACCACGTCAACAACCATGTCAACAACCACGTCAACAACGATATCAACAACCATATCAACAACCATGTCAACAACCATATCAACAACCACGTCAACAACCATATCAACAACCACGTCAACAACCACGTCAACAACAATGTCAACAACAATGTCAACAACCATGTCAACAACCATGTCAACAACCATGTCTACAACGATGTCAACAACCATGTCAACAACGATGTCAACAACCATGTCAACAACCATGTCAACAACCATGTCAACAACGATGTCAACAACCATGTCAACAACCATGTCAACAACCATGTCAACAACAATGTCAACAACCACGTCAACAACGATGTCAACAACCATGTCAACAACCATGTCAACAACCATGTCAACAACGATGTCAACAACCATGTCAACAACCATGTCAACAACAATGTCAACAACCTTACCAACCATGTCAACAACCATATCAACAACCAAGTCAACAACAATGTCAACAACCATGTCAACAACAATGTCAACAACCATGTCAACAACCATGTCAACAACGATGTCAACAACGATGTCAACAACCAAGTCAACAACCAAGTCAACAACAATGTCAACAACCATGTCAACGATGTCAACAACCATGTCAACAACAATGTCAACAACCTTACCAAGCAATGTGAACAACGATGTCAACAACCTTACCAACCATGTCAACCATGTCAACAACCAAGTCAACAACCATGTCAACAACCATATCAACAACGATGTCAACAACAATATCAACAACAATGTCAACAACCATGTCAACAACAATGTCAACCAATGTGAACAACGATGTCAACAACCTTACCAACCATGTCATCTATGTCAACAACCATGTCAACAACCATATCAACAACGATGTCAACAACAATATCAACAACAATGTCAACAACCATGTCAACAACAATGTCAACAACCATGTCAACAACAATGTCAACCAATGTGAACAACGATGTCAACAACCTTACCAACCATGTCATCTATGTCAACAACCATGTCAACAACCATATCAACAACGATGTCAACAACAATATCAACAACAATGTCAACAACCATGTCAACAACCATGTCAACAACAATGTCAACAACCTTACCAACCATGTCAACAACCACGTCAACAACGATATCAACAACCATATCAACAACCATGTCAACAACCATATCAACAACCACGTCAACAACCATATCAACAACCACGTCAACAACCACGTCAACAACCATGTCAACAACCACGTCAACAACGATATCAACAACCATATCAACAACCATGTCAACAACCATATCAACAACCACGTCAACAACCATATCAACAACCACGTCAACAACCACGTCAACAACAATGTCAACAACAATGTCAACAACCATGTCAACAACCATGTCAACAACCATGTCTACAACGATGTCAACAACCATGTCAACAACGATGTCAACAACCATGTCAACAACCATGTCAACAACCATGTCAACAACCATGTCAACAACCATGTCAACAACCATGTCAACAACCACGTCAACAACGATGTCAACAACCATGTCAACAACCATGTCAACAACCATGTCAACAACGATGTCAACAACCATGTCAACAACCATGTCAACAACAATGTCAACAACCTTACCAACCATGTCAACAACCATATCAACAACCAAGTCAACAACAATGTCAACAACCATGTCAACAACAATGTCAACAACCATGTCAACAACCATGTCAACAACGATGTCAACAACGATGTCAACAACCAAGTCAACAACCAAGTCAACAACAATGTCAACAACCATGTCAACGATGTCAACAACCATGTCAACAACAATGTCAACAACCTTACCAAGCAATGTGAACAACGATGTCAACAACCTTACCAACCATGTCAACCATGTCAACAACCAAGTCAACAACCATGTCAACAACCATATCAACAACGATGTCAACAACAATATCAACAACAATGTCAACAACCATGTCAACAACAATGTCAACCAATGTGAACAACGATGTCAACAACCTTACCAACCATGTCATCTATGTCAACAACCATGTCAACAACCATATCAACAACGATGTCAACAACAATATCAACAACAATGTCAACAACCATGTCAACAACAATATCAACAACCATGTCCACCACCGTCTGCTGTTCTATTTCTATTCTCAGTTCACCGGAGGAGCAGAGACGAGGCAGGCGGCCATGGGCGACGCGCGGAAATCCGCGGTAAGTCACCCAGCTTAGCGCACACACAACATGCTTAGCACACACAACATGCTTAGCACACACACACACAACACGCTTAGCACACACACACACAACATGCTTAGCACACACACACACAATACGCTTAGCACACACACACACAACATGCTTAGCACACACACACAACATGCTTAGCACACACAACATGCTTAGCACACACACACACAACACGCTTAGCACACACACACAACATGATTAGCACACACACACAACATGATTAGCACACACAACATGCTTAGCACACACACACACAACATGCTTAGCACACACAACATGCTTAGCACACACACACAACATGCTTAGCACACACAACATGCTTAGCACACACACACAACATGCTTAGCACACACAACATGCTTAGCACACACAACATGCTTAGCACACACACACAACATGTTTAGCACACACACACACACAACATGCTTAGCACACACACAACATGCTTAGCACACACACACACAACATGCTTAGCACACACACACACAACACGCTTAGCACACACACACAACATGCTTAGCACACACATAATGCTTAGCACACACACACACAACATGCTTAGCACACACACAACACGCTTAGCACACACACACACATGCTTAGCACACACACACAACATGCTTAGCACACACACACAACATGCTTAGCACACACACACAACATGCTTAGCACACACACACAACATGCTTAGCACACACACATAACATGCTTAGCACACACAACACGCTTAGCACACACACACAACATGCTTAGCACACACACACAACATGCTTAGCACACACACACAACACGCTTAGCACACACACACAACACGCTTAGCACACAAACACAACATGCTTAGCACACACACACACCATGCTTAGCACACACACACAACATGCTTAGCACACACACACAACACGCTTAGCACACACACACACAACATGCTTAGCACACACACACAACATGCTTAGCACACACACACAACACGCTTAGCACACACACACAACATGCTTAGCACACACACACAACATGCTTAGCACACACACACACCATGCTTAGCACACACACACAACATGCTTAGCACACACACACACAACATACTTAACACACACACAACATGCCTAGCACACACACACACACAACATGCTTAACACACACACAACATGCTTAGCACACACACACAACATGCTTAGCACACACACACAACACGCTTAGCACACACACACAACATGCTTAGCACACACACACAACACGCTTAGCACACACACACAACATGCTTAGCACACACACACAACATGCTTAGCACACACACACAACATGCTTAGCACACACACACAACACGCTTAGCACACACACACACCATGCTTAGAGCACACACACACACAACATGCTTAGCACACACACACACACACAACATACTTAACACACACACAACATACCTAGCACACACACACACAACATGCTTAACACACACACACAACATGCTTAGCACACACACACACACAACATGCTTAGCACACACACACACAACATGCTTAGCACACACACACAACATGCTTAGCACACACACACACACAACATGCTTAGCACACACACACACAACATGCTTAGCACACACACACACAACACGCTTAGCACACATACACAACATACTTAACACACACACAACATGCTTAGCACACACACACACAACACGCTTAGCACACACACACACAACATGCCTAGCACACACACACACACAACATGCTTAGCACACACACACACAACACGCTTAGCACAAACACACACAACACGCTTAGCACACACACACACAACATTCTTAGCACACACACACACAACATGCCTAGCACACACACACAACATGCCTAGCACACACACACACAACATGCTTAACACACACACACAACACGCTTAGCACACACACACACAACATTCTTAGCACACACACACAACATACTTAACACACACACAACATGCCTAGCACACACACACACACACAACACGCTTAGCACAAACACACAACACGCTTAGCACAAACACACACAACACGCTTAGCACACACACACACAACATGCCTAGCACACACACACACACAACACGCTTAGCACACACACACACACAACAAGCTTATCACACACACACAACATACTTAACACACACACAACATGCGTAGCACAAACACACACAACACGCTTAGCACACATACACAACATGCTTAGCACACACACACATAACATGCTTAACACACACACACCATGCTTAGAGCACACACACACAACATGCTTAGCACACACACACACAACACGCTTAGCACACACACACAACATGCCTAGCACACACACACACACAACATGCCTAGCACACACACACAACATGCCTAGCACACACACACACAACACGCTTAGCACAAGCACACACAACACGCTTAGCACACACACACACAACATTCTTAGCACACACACACACAACATACTTAACACACACACAACATGCTTAGCACACACACACACAACACGCTTAGCACACACACACACACAACACGCTTATCACACATACACACACAACATACTTAACACACACACAACATGCCTAGCACACACACACACAACATGCTTAGCACACACACACAACATACTTAACACACACACAACATGCTTAACACACACACACAACATACTTAACACACACACAACATGCTTAACACACACACAACATACTTAACACACACACAACATGCTTATCACACACACACAACATACTTAACACACACACAACATGCTTAGCACACACACACAACATACTTAACACACACACAACATGCTTAACACACACAACATACTTAACACACACACAACATGCTTAACACACACACAACATACTTAACACACACAACATACTTAACACACACACAACATGCTTAACACACACACAACATACTTAACACACACAACATACTTAACACACACACAACATGCTTAACACACACACAACATACTTAGCACACACACAACATGCTTATCACACACACACACAGCACGAACGCTTCACATCAAGTTGAATCCCGCTCTCCTAACCGATGGATGTCTCTCTAGCTGCATGTTTTATTCAGTAATGTGACTGCTTGGCCGATAGCTACATTTCCACTCTTCTAAAGAAAGTGTGTCTTCATAAATAAATGTATTGGGGTAACGGCTTAAAGGACCGTCCATAAATGACGTCACGCACCTAGGGGGGGAGGGGGGGGAGAAATGTGACGTCACATCAAAATGTGCAATTTAAATAAATACAGACAACACGTTCTACTTAATTAAATAGACTTTGTAATAAATGTTTTCTCCTACAACATCGGAGTGCAGAGCCACTTAAATACGCACCACAATGACAACAATAGTTTAAAGCGATTTGAAGCATATTCTTAGGTTTTTTCGGTAAAGTCACGTAGGTATAAATATTTAAAATAAAAATAAAATAAAAATCACAACGTTTCGGAGGCAACACAAGCTTCCGTCTTCAGGTGGAACCGTCACAGCCACGACAGCTGCATCAAGTGAATGAGAGATTGCAAGAGCTACCACTCCGTTTATATATAATGGTTGGAGAGTAGGGAAGGGCCAAGTACGGCACACTTTTTATTCATATGGTAAGGTGAGGCTGAAGACTAAGAATAGACTGCGTAAGGTGAGGCTTAAGACTAAGAATAGACTGCATAAGGTGAGGCTTAAGACTAAGAATAGACTGCATAAGGTGAGGCTGAAGACTAAGAATAGACTGCGTAAGGTGAGGCTGAAGACTAAGAATAGACTGCATAAGGTGAGGCTTAAGACTAAGAATAGACTGCATAAGGTGAGGCTTAAGACTAAGAATAGACTGCATAAGGTGAGGCTGAAGACTAAGAATAGACTGCGTAAGGTGAGGCTGAAGACTAAGAATAGACTGCGTAAGGTGAGGCTGAAGACTAAGAATAGACTGCATAAGGTGAGGCTTAAGACTAAGAATAGACTGCATAAGGTGAGGCTTAAGACTAAGAATAGACTGCATAAGGTGAGGCTGAAGACTAAGAATAGACTGCATAAGGTGAGGCTTAAGACTAAGAATAGACTGCATAAGGTGAGGCTGAAGACTAAGAATAGACTGCGTAAGGTGAGGCTGAAGACTAAGAATAGACTGCATAAGGTGAGGCTTAAGACTAAGAATAGACTGCATAAGGTGAGGCTGAAGACTAAGAATAGACTGCGTAAGGTGAGGCTGAAGACTAAGAATAGACTGCATAAGGTGAGGCTTAAGACTAAGAATAGACTGCATAAGGTGAGGCTTAAGACTAAGAATAGACTGCATAAGGTGAGGCTGAAGACTAAGAATAGACTGCATAAGGTGAGGCTTAAGACTAAGAATAGACTGCATAAGGTGAGGCTGAAGACTAAGAATAGACTGCATAAGGTGAGGCTTAAGACTAAGAATAGACTGCATAAGGTGAGTCTTAAGACTAAGAATAGACTTCATAAAGTGAGGCTTAAGACTAAGAATAGACTGCATAAGGTGAGGCTTAAGACTAAGAATAGACTGCATAAGGTGAGGCTTAAGACTAAGAATAGACTGCATAAGGTGAGGCTGATGACTAAGAATAGACTGCATAAGGTGAGGCTTAAGACTAAGAATAGACTGCATAAGGTGAGGCTTAATACTAAGAATAGACTGCATAAGGTGAGGCTGAAGACTAAGAATAGACTGCATAAGGTGAGGCTTAAGACTAAGAATAGACTGCATAAGGTGAGGCTTAAGACTAAGAATAGACTGCATAAGGTGAGGCTGAAGACTAAGAATAGACTGCATAAGGTGAGGCTGAAGACTAAGAATAGACTGCATAAGGTGAGGCTTAAGACTAAGAATAGACTGCATAAGGTGAGGCTTAAGACTAAGAATAGACTGCATAAGGGGAGGCTTAAGACTAAGAATAGACTGCATAAGCTGAGGCTTAAGACTAA